TTAGGATTTCTGTTACTTACCAAGATTCCTGTTAGGTCACAAGATTTACTTTCCAACTATCTTATCTTTTCATAGTATTTATTAAGCCTCCCTTTTCCTCTGATTCTCCCATCTGCCCTTCCCAAAACATTAGTAATAGATTACTTACAATTAGATATACCTCAGAATTTAAACAAAGTCATCTTCTAGTAGTACCAAGTGGGCAAAACCCCTCTTAATTCACTATTGCCATTATTTATTTAAAATAACAAAGAGGGCTGGGAAGGTTCCTCAGTGGTAGAGTGCTTGCCTTACATGCATGAGGCCCTGGGTTTGATTCCTCAGCATCACATAAGCAGAAAAACACGGAAGTAGTGCTGTGGCTCAAGTGGTAGAGTGCTAGCCTTGAGCTGAAGGGCTGAGGGACAATGTCCAAGCCCAGAGTTAAAAAATAAAATAAAATAACAAAGAAAATCAACAATAAGTAAAACATAAGTTGCCGTATTTTCATGGGTTTCTATGCATTTGGCCACAAGTCATTGTATCCTTGAGCCAGCAAGGTGAGCTGTTACTCTTATTAGTTGAACTCTGCTTATCACTGTCTAAGAGTTCTGCTTGTTAGCAGAGCCCTTACACTTAATTCAAAGGAAAAGATAATTAAAGGGAATGTCTGATGGTAGAATGTTGTGTTGCATTTACAAACAGCCTGATTGGCAATACAGATTTACAACACAATCAATCCCCTTATATTTGACATATTATGAAGTATCTTGAGGTGATTTAATTGTTAGACCTATTTGGTCATGGATTGGCTAAATCTATCATTCCTAGGAGAGCTGTTTTAAAAATGCTATTTATTGAGAATTTATCCATTCTGGCAGCAAGTTTGTTATTTATATGCATTACTAGATTCAGTCTCTATAGTTAGAAGAGGTAGGTACAGTTCCCCCCATTTTACAGACTAAAAAACAGAATGAGAAAAAAACACTTAAGTAATTACTGAAAATCAAATACTGATTGAGGCTGGAATTTGAACTCAGACATATGAAAGTTTGTTCCTTTGTTGTTCATCAGTGAATAAACAATAATCTCAATCATGTTGAGTTGCAGCATTGTTTCATTATCCTTTGAAACTTACTATTATTCCCCCAAATGCTATTCTTTAGCCAAGAGCTGAGTAAATTTAATATACACTAGCAGCCTAGGATCAGTGGTTAACACTTGTAATTCTAGCAACAAGGAGGCTATGATCTGAGGATTACAGTTCAAAGCTAACCCCAGGCAGGAGAGTATGTAAGACTCTTAGCTCCAATCAACCTATAAAGCTGGAAGTGGAGCTGTGGCTCAAGCAGTAAAGTGCTAGTCTTGAGCTAAAGGAGCTTAGTGACAATACCCAGAACTTGAGTTTATACCCCAGTATCAGCACACACACACACACACACACACACACACATATACACAAATTCACTAGCAGCTTTTCCATTTTTAAAAATGAATGTTTCACAGTGAAATATGAAGTTACTTTCCTATTTGCTTTTGACCACAATACTTGATCATTAATACAATAGTCTCTTTGGATCTCAAGAATGAACACAGAGGAAGTTGCACTGTGGCTCAAGTGGTAGAGTGCTAGCCTTGAGCTGAAGAGCTCAGGGACAAAGCCCAGGCCCAGTTCAAGCCCCCAGACCAACAGCAACAAAAAAAAATGAACACAGAGAAGAAATGATTCTTTCTTTTTACATTCTCTCCTAAGGCCAGTATCATTAGATGTAAAAGAAAAAAATAAAACAACAATATTGTACAGTGCTGATTATGGCTCTAACACTTACGATTCTCTAACACATGTGTAAAAATATTTTTATAAATACAAAAATATTTTGTATTTACTTAGTGACCAAGGTCTTTTGGTGAATATGGCTTCTAATGTTGAGTGTGATGTTTCTATTTTCAACAGAAAGTTGAGGAAACATCTTTTTTGGGGGGGGTGTCTGGTTGTGGGGCCTGGGCGCTGTCCCTCAGCTCTTCAGCTCAAGGCTAGCACTCTACCACTTGAGCCACAGCGCCACTTCCGGCTTTTTTCTTTTTGCTTATGTGGTGCTGAGGAATCGAACCCAGGGCCTCAGGCATGCAAGGCAAGCGCTCTACCACTGAGCCATCTTCCCAGCCCGAGGAAACATCTTTTATAGGCATATTTTAACCATTAATGTTCAATTTTATATTTGTAATGTTTTGTACCTGTTGGAAATGTCTCAGGTTATTGGGGTATCATGTAGGAGGAACTCTGCAAAGGTTCCAAGTGAGCAAATTCTGGGCAGGAAGTCTGCCCAGGTTTTATCTCTGACAAATTATTGCCCTTTGTCCTGATTGGTAAGAACTTACATTCACAATATGTGTGACTGGCTAGTTTGAAAAGCATTAAAAGTTTATCTCGGCAATCAACCAAAACCAGGATAACCTGCCAAAGCAGGAACTTACCAGAAAAACAATTCTTACTCAGCTGGTGCTGTACCATCTGAACCACACCTCTAGACCCCAGAAAAACAATTCTTTTTTTTTTTTTGACGGTCGTGGGGCCTGAACTCTGGGCCTGGGCGCCATCCCTGAGCTCTTTAGCTCAAGGTTAGCATTCTACCACTTGAGACACAGTGACACTTCCGGCTTTTTCTGCTTATGTGGTGCTGAGGAATCGAACCCAGGGCCTCATGCATGCAAGGCAAGCACTCTTACCACCGAGCCACCTTCCCAGCCCCAAGAAAAACAATTCTTATAATAAGATGAGACTTAACTAAAATTGCTTTTCGTAAGATGGTCGCTATCCTAAAAATGGCAGTGCTCATGTCAAGTAACCACTTTGACAGCAAAGATTCTAACTCCTATATATCCTTCTTTCTAACAGTTTCTCTATACCTAACTACATGATACAAATGAATCCTCTTGAGTCTCTTAAATTGGATGTGTCCTGCAAAGTAAATATCCCAACCATACTTGAAGAAATGTTAGGTCTTTGAACAGACTACCTCTACCTTTGGATTCTCCTGTCTGAACTAATTAAAAGTCAAGCTAGAAATAAACTGTGTAGAATTTATTATTAACATGACTTTAAATAACGATGGAGTGGGGTTTTTTGCCCACACAAAATAATCAAGTAATGTTTTCATTGCAATTGAAAAAGATATTGGAAAGGCAACCCAGTTTATTGTACTATATTTCCAAGGGTAGGATTGTAGAAAGTACATTTCTTCAGGCAATAAAGTGTTTTACAATTATAAATGTAGCTGCATATAATCAAGTTTTCTTTCTGGAAGATAGAAATTCGAAAAATTTCTTCTAACTTGGAAAAAATTTTGTCATTTTCATGAATCACTCAGCAATCAGCCATGTGCTATTTCAAAAAAAAATTACTACCTTGGAATGTCACTTGATCCAATGATGTTCATATTCATTCTCTATCGCTGTCTTCCCTCCCCCTCCCTCTTCCCCCCCCCTCTTCCCCCCCCCCTCCTCTCTCTCTCTCTCACACACAGGTTTGGCAAAGATGCAGGACCCATTATCTCCAGCAATGGTTGTCTGAGTGAAAAAGACACTGCTTGGTATAAGGAAGAACACTTAGAACTCCTCCCTCCCACACAGAAATGGAGGAACAAAGATAAACAAATGCAGCAGTGTTACTCACTAGACACCATGTTGAAAATGAACTGTACAACTTATGGTTAGCAATGGGAGAGAAAAGCTGGAGAGAGGGAGAAAGGGGTGACCCTGTCCAAACAGAAATGTACTCTTTATCTGACTGACTTGTAACTGTCACCCCTCTGTCCACCCCCTATAATAACACTTAGAAAAAAAAGAAAAAAAAGAACTCTTCCGTCCCAATCAATATCACCTCAGAGAGCTGGAAACAGACTTTCTTCTGCTGGAACCTGTGGTAGATGATCAGGCCCTGGACATTAGGACTGCTGTTTGGGAAGTCCATCGTTGAACTCCCGCAAGATGCACGGTGGTTCACTCGCCCAGCTAAATTACTAAACTAGAAGGCACCGAGAAATGGACAAATGATTCCCGCTTCCACTGAACCCGTGCTCCTGCCGACCTGACCGTGTGAATGTCAACCAGGTGAGCAAGAGGAGGGCCTGGCTTGGAGCTGAGAGGGGGAAGGGAAGGGAAGCACCATCGACCACAGAGTCGAGGTCTCCAAGCCTAGCCTCAATCTACAGCATGCAGTGCAGGTGGCACCGGTAGGGACGATCGCTGAGCCTGGACCACGGGTTATCTAGTTAAAGCTCCTCCACAGCAGCATCTCGTAACGTGCAGGGGCTGAGGGAGGAAGGGGCCGAGCCTCTTCTGGGGCCTACACCCAGATACCGGGCTGCGGGCACCCCTCGGGACCGGGGCAGCCGCCCCCACCCCCACCCCCCTTCTAAGAACTGGTGCAGCGGCAGCAAAACCCAAATTCCGTGCGGAAGCCCAGGTCTGGGGGCGGCAGGCGGCGGGCTGCCAGCGGCGGAAGGAGAAGGGGGCGTCCTCCGCGCGGCGGCGGGCGCAGCGCTCGTCGACGGCGGGTCGCCGCGGAGACCAGAGCTGCCAACCAAATGCAAACTGCTGGCGCACAGGCGCCAGCCCCCTCGCAGCGAGGGGGGGGGTGGTTCGCACACCCTCGGCTCCGAAGTTGACTATACCCGGGGTCGGAAGGAAGCAGGGAGAGGAATGAATCATCCCGCCTAATTCCGCCTTCCCGACTCCCCAAGCCCCCGCGCACCAGCCCCCTCCCAAGATCCTGCAGCCGCCAGAGAAGATTGCGCTCAGCCTCCGTCTTCACCAACACCACCACCCCGCGCCCCACCGTGGCCTGCAGAGAGAGGAGACAGACAGGGCAAATGGCCAATGAGAGCTCTGCTCTCTCGCCCGTCATCCAATGAGCCTCGGATGCCAGGCTGGGCGGGACCAAGAGGGCAGAAGTGGGCGGCCCGGGAGCGGAGCACGGCGCGGCAGCTCCGGGGCTCTCAGAGCTGGAGCCTCACGGAGTCCGCGCCTAGAGGAGACGCGGGAAGGCGGCCGCGGCTGTGGTGGACACGACCGGCCCTCCGGCCACCTCACCAGCTCAGGCGTTCGCTGCTTGCAGCCTCAGCTGCCAGCCACAGTCCTCATGGAAGAGATGGAAGAAGAGTTAAAATGCCCCGTGTGTGGCTCCTTCTATCGGGAGCCCATCATCTTGCCCTGCTCGCACAATTTATGTCAGGCGTGCGCCCGCAACATCCTGGTACAGACCCCGGAATCCGAATCTCCCCAGAGTCGCAGGGCCTCGGGCTCGGGGGTCTCCGACTATGACTATTTGGACCTAGACAAGATGAGCCTGTACAGCGAGGCGGACAGCGGTTACGGTTCTTACGGGGGCTTCGCCAGCGCTCCCACTACCCCCTGCCAGAAGTCTCCCAACGGCGTCCGCGTGTTTCCGCCAGCCATGCCACCACCGCCCACCCACCTGTCACCGGCCTTGGCCCCGGTGCCTCGGAACTCCTGTATCACCTGCCCCCAGTGCCACCGCAGCCTCATCCTGGATGACCGGGGGCTCCGCGGCTTCCCCAAGAACCGCGTCCTGGAAGGGGTGATCGACCGCTACCAACAGAGCAAAGCCGCGGCCCTCAAGTGCCAGCTCTGCGAGAAGGCGCCCAAGGAGGCCACGGTCATGTGCGAACAGTGCGACGTCTTCTACTGCGACCCTTGTCGCCTGCGCTGCCACCCACCCCGGGGGCCTCTAGCCAAGCATCGTCTGGTGCCGCCGGCCCAGGGCCGCGTGAGCCGACGGCTGAGCCCGCGCAAGGTGTCCACCTGCACCGACCACGAGCTGGAGAACCACAGCATGTACTGCGTGCAGTGCAAAATGCCCGTGTGCTACCAGTGCTTGGAGGAGGGCAAACACTCCAGCCACGAAGTCAAGGCCCTGGGGGCTATGTGGAAACTGCACAAGGTGAGTTTTGTGGGAGTGTCCGCCCCCCCTCCTCTCCGCCCCCCGCAACTCACTTGGATCCTCACTTTTGCACCAGAGAGTCCCTCCTCCCCTCCCTTCCCCTTTCCCAGCGGGGGCGCAATGCAGGTGCCATCCAAGTCCGCCTTCCTGGGTCTGGTGCATTGCAGGAAGCCTCGGGGAATAGGAAAGTTGAATGTCTCCCAGGGAGTTGTTGCGGGGATGCCTTAGGGGGAGCCGCCTCCTCCTGGGGTGGGGGGGGATCGCTGCCTGTGAGAGCAAGCGCCCCTTCCACGCGGCGGGTCTGCAGCCCAGGGCCGCCGCCAGAATGTGGGCAAAACGCTGGCGTTGCTGGGCAGAGCCGCGCCAGTGTTGAAGGCTGCCAGGCGAGCTTCAAGGCCCCTCGGGACTGAATCCCCCTGTGGAGGGGGCGGGCAGGGAGGTGGGGTCGCGCGGACTGCAGGGGGGGCGGTCGCTGCTGGATTGGCGGACGCGGTGTTGCTATGGGCAGAATGCTGATGAGCTCGAACTGGGCCAGGCCTGGTGCTCCCAGCAGAGGCCACACAGGTTGGAGTGCCTAAGGCTCATGAGTGTAGAGGGGGCCGGGGGGGGGGGGGGTCCTCCTGTGGTCGCCATAGCAACGTGGCTTGCAGGCTCCAGGCTTGACCCTCCCAGAAGCGGATCTGAGTGGCAGGGCTAGAGTTTTCTGTGCTGTTCCTGTTTGAAAGCCAAGCAGGCTGTCATTCATCCACAACTCCAGGTTTTCAGGATTCAACCTTTTAATTCCTTCAATAGTTGTATGTGCAAACTTTGGGACACTTGTTACTGGATTTACCTTTGTGGTCTGTTTGATAAGGTTTCCACCACAGCTGGTCAAGTGTTTTTCATATCATTTGAAGTCATGCCCCTCCTCTGCTCAAAATCTGCTAATAGCTCTATGTATTTTTCAGACCAGTTCTGTGAACGTTCAGCCTCCTCAGAGACCTCTTTGACTCCCACTCATTCCCTCTGTTCCAGCTACACTATGCCTCTTGGCTCAAGCAAAACCAGACATCTTTCTGCCCTAGGGCCTTTGCATTGATTGTTGCTTTCATTATTGGGGAAGTCTAAATCTTTCCCAATGCCTAGGCCAAAGTGGCTTCCTCACCTGGCTTCTTCCCATTTGTGCTCAGAGCTGAGCAATCTGGATTGAGGCTACTTGGCTGGTGGCAGTGGTCACCATCTTTCCTCAGACATCCTCTAGTTCAGCCCTGCTTGATTTTGTATCCTTCTGAAATGATACCACATATGTGGATTATCATGTTACTCTGTTACTCTGTGTGTGTGTGTGTGTGTGTGTGTGTGTGTTTATGTGTTTATCCTGGGGATCAAACTCAGGACCTGGGCCTTGTTCCTGAGCATTTTTGCTCAAGGCTATCACTCTACCACTTGAGCCACAGCTCCACTTCTGGCTTTCCTGCCTAGGCTGGCTTTGAATCTCAATCTTAAAATCTCAGCCTCCTAAATTGGTAGGATTACAGGCATGAACTACACAGGAACCCAGCTTTATGTTATTTTTGTATTTATCTGTTTCCCACTTCCACCTGAAGGATAGAAGCTTCATGAAGAAATAGATCTTTATAGTATGATACCTAGATTGCTTAGAAAGAAGGAAACCACTCTGCTATGATGTGCTGTTTAACTATGACTTTTTATTTTTTGTCTGTTTGGGACTTGAACTCAGAGCCTGGGCACTGTCCTTGAGCTTTTCCACCCCAGGCTAGTACTCTACCACTTTGAATCACAGCTCTACTTCTGTTTTTCTGGTGGTTAATGGGAGATAAGAGTCTCACAGATTTGCATGCCCTGTCTGGCTTTGAACCACAACCCTCAGATCTCAGCATCCTGAGTAGCTAGGACTACAGGCATGAGCATCCTGAGTAGCTAGGACTACAGGCACCCAGCAGACTTTTTAAATAATCCACTTAGCTGGAAGTGTGGAGAGCAGGGTAGAGGCTGGGATTATTGTCAAGAAATTAGCTTTACATCACTGAGTTTATACCCAAAAATGAGGCAGTGAAGGTGATGTACAGGCCTCTGATGTGGCCCAGGAAGAGTTTCCCAGCACTCCGTGGAGCCCAGAAAGGCTAGCTTTGAGGGATGCTAACCCTGGGGTTAAGCAGTAACAGTGATGATTTATTCCCAGACAAAGGAAGGGAGGAGTGTCACTATTTTAATCAATCACTGGAGGTTTTCTCAACTCTGTCCCCATTAAATGTGACCCATGTTTACAGTCACTTGTATTTTCCTTTATAATCTAGTCAACGATATTACCACAGCTGGGGCCTTCCTTTGGTATGTATTTAAGTCATAACCATACACCACTGTTTTTTCTTTAAAAAAAAACAAAACGAAACAATGACATTTCTGAAAGTTTGCAAAACTTTAGTTCACAATTTTTCTTCATATTATGATTTTACTCTCCAACTGCTAACTATAGTCTTTGCATTAAAAAGCGTCTGAGAAATTAATCACTTTGTCTATGTGAAGTGCTTAGTACTACATACTAATTAGGATGATCAAACCACAGTGTAAAAAAACTATATCCATTAAGATCAAAAGGCACCTTTCAACCCTATGAGGCTTGAGATATTAATTCATTTGTTTCATAATGCTAGTTATGAGTAAATACTGTAGGGTTGACAGGGTTGTCTGATTAAAAAGAATAATATTAAAACCCAGACATATTCGATAAGATGGCTATACGACTATTAGATCTCCCCATTTTCTCACATTTCCCCAAAGTAAGTAGACCTCATTTTTGTTCAGTTTACTTATAGCAGAATAATTAAACTGCCTAGAAGAATAAGGCAGAAAGATGGCAGGTTTGAATATTCAATTGTCATCTGCCAGATGAACAACAAACTTTATTTCCCAGCCTTATTTCCTTAATAAGGCAATCACTGTGTTAACACTCCATTTTCTCTACAGTCTATATTTTAATTAATAATTATAATTAATAATATCACTACAAACATGTATGGACTAGAATTTCTATGCCCTTCACAACAAAAGAGAACCAAGAATTCTACTTAGTTCTCCCAAGGTTGGGCAGTTAGTTATCAACACAGACTGTTAGGAGACCTGAAAGTTTTACATTCCACCATATTAATCATTTCTAGATGAAAAAAATCTTGTGACTAGCATTCTCTTAGGTATACATCATCATCTTTCCCATTCAAGGAAATATGGCTGCAGTATATTGTTAACTAGTCTTAAAAACAACTGGTTAAAATGTATCTTAATTTTGTCAGCTGATATAATATTAAAATTTTTAGATTATTTGTGACCTTCAAAACCCAGGAAAAATAATAATATATGAGATGGCCTTACAAATATCCAGCAGCAGATTTTAGTACTAGTATTTGCTATAGTTCTTTATTCAACTCAGGCTGATAACAAAGAGCTACATTTTTAGGATTTACAAATAGGCAGTTGTAATTACTATTGTCACTATGATCTTAAGCAGTTTTCATTTCTGAATTCTAACATTATTGTTGAATTCTTGTTGTATTTTTATCAATCCCTGGGTCAGTAATATATTGTAATGATTCCTTTATGTTGAGGCTGTTTAGAAGATTTGCATTTCCTTTTTACTATCCATTCTATATCTTTTCTCAAATGTTGTTTCTTTCTTCTTATTTTAAAAGAAGATTTGCAATTTAAACCTATTAAAATAAACTATCAGTTGATATACTTTTATTTAAAAAGTATTCTGGAAAGAATAATTGTTTAGTTATATGGTAGTGTTTCACCAAGTATTTTTGTAGCCAAATGTATTAGCCCGTCATTGAAATGATGTTTGGTTGATTATGTACCTGCAGTAGATACTTTATAATCTATATGTGCCTATGGTATAAGAGGTAGTCTATGTCCAGTTTTTTAAAAAATTCTTTTAATTCTCCTGTAGCACAATCAGAATATTCTGTATGTAATGTAAACACACATTTTAAGGAGGATGTTACAGAGGAGAAAATTATTCCCCTCTGTACCCAGACACAGTGAAAGAGCTAGATGCTGGGAGGGCTAGGTTTCAGAACTGACATGGCTAAGTTACTCCCTGGACTAGACAAGTTTCATACCTTTTTGTGTTTCCCACCCACCCACCACAACCATGGAAACCATTTATACCTGCAGTTATGAAAGTGTTTCGAGAAAATTGTTTAAATGTTTATAATTTTCTGATCTTCATTTAGCATAGCTGTGAACTGTTGATGTAAAACAGAAGTGAATGTCTTATTGGTTAACAAAGACTATACAAAAATCTCATCCCTCCCCATTAGAGAATACTTTACTTTCTCTTTTCAGAGTATAAAGGGTGTAGTTCACAGTAGCTCTGAAAAGTGTCTTCAAAGAAGGTGGCCCTTGTGCTCATTGGGCCAGAGAGAATACTCAGTTGGTTTAGTTTCCAAGAATATGAACACCACACCAAGATCTATTAAGCAAACAAATTTGCTTTTTCATAAGAAAGCTAACATGGTCACTGATAACTCTATTGCTTTCAAATTCTCCAGTAAATATATTGATATCACCTTGAAATAGCTGTAATTGTTTTTCCTATATATGGAATTAAATGATGCTATTAAATATAATTGTAGGCCAAATAGCACTGAAAAAATATCTTCACTGTCATCTACTACCAGATAATTACAAATAATGTACAGGTGGAAGTTATTCTTACCAGCAATATAATAACTGAGTTTTTCTTCACCTAGATATGTAAATGAAGTTCCAGTATGTGTATACAGGTTTGGGTAACCCTCATCTGAAATACTTGAGGCCAGAATGTTTTCAGAATTTGGGGTTGGAGAACATTTTTACTTAAATAACAAGTTATCTTGGCAGATAAGACCCAACCCAAACATGGAACTCATTTACCTTTCATATATACTTATTCACATAGTCTGAAGATGATTTCATACAATATTTTTAGTGTATCAGTGTTCTGACTGGGACTCATCACA